CCGAACTTGGCAGTCAGTCTTCGTTGACAGGGACCGACCACAACGCGGCCTCCCAGTTTTCGCGGTCTTTTCCTACCGTTGGCTCAAAAGTGATTTTACTACACCACATCATATCCATTTCATGCATTCATACAGCAGCAGTAGATATTTTCGTCTGGTATTGTGAGCTGCTCTGCCTTACAACCAGGTCGTTCTTCATGATTTTTTCGACTTTCAGTCCTCGTCAGCGACTTGGACCATCTGTAGACGTTGCTCGCTCTTCTTGTTCCGCAAGTAGTCATACAGGAGTCCTCCATACGACAAGTTAGAAGCTGGTTCCCATGTAGTTGACTCGCAGCCAACCCACTTCACCTCAAATTCGCGCACAGGTCTATCCGTGTTGGTTGACATTGGTGTTCTGTCGTCCAAAATCGCTTCCACCTCGAATTCGCCGGTAACTTCATCTGGCATCCAGCTGTCTTCGGGCAACCGCTCTTCGTCGAAGTCGTATCTCGCTTCCTCGGCAACATCTCGAGCTAAGCGCGTCTTTGGGCGATCACAAAATTCGTTTACAGCCTTCAGTCGGAGACGTGCACCACTGGGTAGAACCGATACCCACTTTTATCTGGTAACTCGAGCTCGTACGCGAACTCCTCGACCTTTCGCTTCACTCTGTATCATCGGTGAGCCAGCTTCTTATCTAATCCTGGCTTCACCCTCTCCATATACAGCCATATTCGACTTCCAGGTCGAAATAGAGACTTCGGGTCCGAGTCATCGTCGGGCGAGCCATCATTCACACCTTTTGGTACTGCGGCTTGCTCTTTGCGACTGAGCTTCTCGTTGTGAATTCTAGCACGTCGGTCCTTCTCCACTGCTTGGTATTCTTTAGCCATCTCGAGCGCGATCTGCTGCTGGCGGTTGATTTCTCGCCGCCAGGCTAGTGCCTCAGTCTGCTTACCGATACCTCGCTTCATGGAGGTCGTCATTGCTCGTCGTGTCGTATGGGCATCCTATCCAGGCACCAAGTAGAATGGTGGTCATATCGTGGGAATTATTGATCGCAAAGACTAGTCGCTCAGCGATCTCATCCCAGTCTTGCTGCAACGGGTCTTTCACATAGTCCTTGACAGACTGCATCACGGTCTTGACCGAGCGCTCTTGCTGTCCATTCGCTTGTGAGCAATAGCTCAGCGTTGACCTTGACCTTGCTTGTATTAACTCGGCGAAGGCTTGGAAAACCTCGCTCATGCAGCGTGGGTCTCGGTCATGTCGAATAAGAGACGGAGCACCAAATCGTCTGTAGATGCATTCCTCGAACACCTTGGTCACAGTCAGGGCATCGGTATCCGACATCGCATTAGCGATCACAAATTCAGTAAACGAGCACTGTCATAGCAATAAGGCAGTGTTCCCTCGACGAGATCTCGGTAGAGGGATCACAAAGTCCATTGACACCACCTGGAATGGTCGCTCTGCGAGCACATTGCCAGGTGAGTAGCCTTTGAGCTGCTTACTCGAGCTGCAGTCGAGACATGATTTCACATGTTTTCCACATCTGCGTAGTTTCACTCTTTGGTAAGAGTGAACGACACCTTGGTGTCCTCCTTCGATGGAGTCATGACAGTTGTGTAGCACCTCTTGGATCATTGTGGTTGGTACCGAGCCTCAACGACATCTCGGGCTGGTTTTCATCGACCTTTCTTCTGCTCACACCTGTGTAATACAGGACGTTGTCACTTGACAGCACGAAGTTGTCCGCCCACTTCCAGGCTTCTCGAGCCTCTTTGTAAGTCATCGCTGTGGTTTCTCCTCTCACGACAGCTTTCAGGTTCGACCACCTCAACTCCTCGTCCTGGGCTTTGGCGATACGGCGCCTTCGCTCTTCTTGCACTGTAATCGGGTCAATGCCATCGGCTGTTAATTCGTGTCGGACCTCAGCACTTGGTCGTTGCACTCGCGCTTCCGAGTCCTCGATGACTGGCTCAGTTGCCTCAGCGTTAGTCGTTCCATCAGGAACTTCGTCCTCGAAGTGCACTCTTTTCTTCTTGGTCTTGGTCTGACTTCGAGTTGTATCTGAGACTTCGGCGCGCTCTTGGTGCGCAAAATCAGCAAAGGTCTTGCGTTGTAGCAGGATATAGCTGTCAATAGCGTGAATGTGACGTGTCTTTCCGTCCAGAATTTGAGCGAAAGTCTCGGAACTCGTTTTTCCGGCCTGATGTCGTCTGAAGACGGCTCATAGATCATTTCTTTGATTCTGTTCAGTTTCTTGGGCTCAGTCTTACGGTGGTCGTTGAGCACCACCTTAGACATCTTCGACTCCAATGCCTCGCCAGCGAGCGAGTCAGCCGCTGCGTTGTACTCACGCACCACGTGCAGATATCGGACTGACTTGAGCTTCGCAACGAGTTCTCGGTGGCGGTT